GGAGCAGCCCATGTAGAGGTGCTTCAGCGTGAAGTGCGGACTCTCGACATCGTAGAGCCACACCCGCCCCTTCAGGCCCCGATCAATCGCAGCCCCGGCCAGACCCTCATGGTCTGCGGCGCATTCGTCGGCACCGCCCCGCGAGCCTCGTACTGCACCACCAGGGCATCGGCGGGCGCGAGCCGGCGGTTCTCCCGCTCGTTGATCTGCAGCCGCTTGGCATGGGAGATGACCAGGCTCACGTCGGGCTCCTCCCGCCTCGGGAAGCGCCGTCGGGCCTCCCGCAGCGGCACCTGCTCAGGCTCGTCGACTCGCAACCAAGTCAGGAACTCGAAGATCCGCTCGTCGAAGCGCCAGCGCTCCGAGAGCTCGTGGCACCAGCCCCCGGCCAGGTCGTGCAGCAGCTGGCTGTGCTTCAGCTCCTTGTCAGACCTCCGCTCCCGCGAAGCTATCCAAGACGGCGTGGCAGCTGCCGGAAGTCCCCGAGCAGCAGGACTATGTCAGCCCACAAAGGAGCATCTAACTGAGTGAATTCTTCTATGACCAGCCAGGTGGCGCTGCAGTGCCCGTTCCTTACGTTCCGCCGCCCGGCGGTCGGCCGTCTGCGCCCCCAGGCCCACGTTTTGCACGGCCGCATGGGTTTTGGTGATGATGTGCACCGTGTTGCCGTGTTCCCGCAAAGCGTCGACGATCTTCTTGGCCAGATGAGTCTTGCCGGTCCCCGGAAAGCCCGGGAAAAATTTGAGGCTGCGGCCAGCGCTGCCCGCGATAGGGCACGCCCAGGCGCTCCGTCCCCTGCAGCACCTCGCGTCCTCGCAAAGCAGCTGAATCACGCATCTGCCCCCCACGCCCCGCGTATGTCCCTCGGCCGGACTCGATCTCTCCGTTCCAGGGCCGCCAATCCTTGAACTCGGGCACCGGGTCCCGCTTTAGTCGGCGGAAGCGCTGCCGCTGCTCGGAATCGTCGCAGCCCGGAAGACGTCGAAACGATGCCGGCCGCGACTTTCAGAGTCTACCAGGATAATGCCCAAAAGAGCTGACAAGGAGCCGTCAGCGGCGGCTCGAGGAGGCGGGGGCGTTGCGGGCCCCCACCAATGCCCAGAGGTCATTCCAGCCCCAGTACGGGGC